TGGATTATTAAAAAAAAATCAACACAAGAAGTCTTCATGTGTGCTACGCTTTTAGTTATTATCTAGTCAATTCATATCATTGCTTTGTCATGTAAGCTTTGATGCCTTGTGATATTAACCGGCCACAATTATCTGATTTGAATTTAGTCCGAGTATTCGGATTTGGATCCTTAGATTAAAAGTTAATACCTTGTAGGCGGTATGAGTGGAGTCTATACAAAGACCGTTTTCTTTATTGAAATTAAATATATTTTTTGAAAATCCAGATAGGATAACTTGATAGGTATTTTATCTATAAATTAATAGAAGATTCCTTAGCAATCTTTTTTTATTTTTTTACCTTCTTGTTCTTTCTTCCCGGTCATGATTTAGTCAAGTTTATGCCTTCATACTTACAAATGATCAAGAGCTCTAAGTATAAGACAATAACAACAATAAAGACAACAATAAAATTTTATGAAGTTCTCATTGATACCCAACAAAATTTGACAATATTTGGAGAGAAATATTGAATATTGGTCAAAAATCTAAATGCGTCTTTTCTCCAAAGATTTTAATTGAATTTGGATTCTTCAGCGTAACTGTTTTTTAGAAAGCATTTTACAGTGTAACTTACAAAGTTTATATTAAAATTTTAAAAGGATTTTTTAGTTCATAATTGATCAACAGATTTTTCAGGATCCTATTTCATTGTTGCGTCTAGTTCGATATAGCTTTAGAGAATATTTCCTTTAACCGCTTTCAAGCAAACTCACACATATAGGAGCAAAATAAAATCATTTTGGTCTTAGAAAAGGGAAATGATGGCAACTTTTTTTTTTTCTTAAAATCAATTTAGCCTCTATTAGGTTTCAGTGATTAGCTTACTTTTTTAAGTAAAAAGTGCAGCCTCTACATTTGTAATTGTCTCTATCTAGTCGAATATTCTGGCTCCGTCCATGAAGAAACAGTCTATAACTAGACAAAAATTCAATTATCCTAATTCCAAACTCCATTTCCGTACTCATAAGTTGATGGCGAAACTATGTTGGATTAAAGCTTACATGGTCAAATTCAGCCGTCGTATGTTAATTAATCACAATGTGGGGCCCAAATTGTATTGAAATTCCAGTATATTACTTGCATTGACAATTACGCAGTAGCTACAGAATATAGAAAAAGGTAGGATGTAAAAAAAAAAAATCGAACTTGTCCTGTTCATTGGACGGAACTATTCAACAACAAATTGATATAATGAGGAGCCGCTTGGTTAGAGCATCTCCAACAGTTTCTCCAAAATTTTCTCCAAAATGAGGAAGCAAAAGTCATATTCTCTAACTAATTTTTACACCTCCAACAGCTTCCCCATTTTGAAGAATCCATTTTTTCCTCCAAAAATTTGGAGAATGCTGCAGATTTGGGGAAGCTTCCCCATTTTTTCTCCACCATCCCTATTTTGGGGAATGAGATGAGGAATCTGTTGGGCCAAAAACCTAACTAAATTCTCCAAAAGTGAGAAATGGAAAAGCTGTTGGAGATGCTCTTAGAGCACTCTCTTAAGTAGACTGGAATCGAAGCTAAGACCGTGAGAGCCATAACCTACCAACTGTCTGGACCACCTACGGTGGATAAGAATAATAATAAGCTTAGATTCCTTAAGAAGCTCATAACGAAGCTAGATAACATATCCAGAAAATTAAATAAGAAAACATTGATTTTTTAACATTTCTTGTACTAGTTTGTTTTTACATAAAAAAGAAGAGGCGTGTTGTGAAAATTTTGAATGTAAACCGCGATTCATCGCACATTTGCATAGAAGCATACCTGCCATCCTCGATTTGGAATTTACCCATTTCAAGTAGATAAATAAATGACCAAAAGGTGCATATGTGCTCTATCAACATTTTTTTACAAAGATTAAATGCAGGAGGGTCAGGTGGTAAATTAGGACAGTGACTTTTCATTCCTCCTCTTTTAATTCCTTTTACACGCACAGAGAGCTACATAGAAAAGATGAGAAGAAAAGCATCACAGCATGTTGAGCTCATCAACCCCATATCCACAAAATTTACCACCTAATGCATCACGGTAAAGTTAAAAGAGATCAAATCTTGATTAGGAGTCGAAAGAAACTGAGCATTTCAGAATAAAAATGAATAACCAGTGGTTTTCCATTGAAACGAGAACCATATAAGCATGCAAAGATCTAAACCTAGAATGTCACTTTTTACTGGTATCGTACTTGTAAAGTAAAGAAAGCAATCAATACATTTTCATGATAGTTAAATATGGGTGAAATATGCAAGCTATTACTACCATATATTTTACATTTTACAATAGTACATTTTACACTAGTGTGCGCCTCGTGCAAAACACGGACTTCCTTTTTTTTATCGTTACAATAATCCCGTTTTTAATTGTTACAATATATTTTTAAATGTTACATCAATATTTTTTAAAATGCTACAGTAATATTTTTTAAAAAAATGCTTTTAATATGCTACATTAATATTTTAAATAATGCTGTGGTATCTTATGCTGCAGTAATATTTTTGGAATTACTGTAGCATAAATAGTGATTCTTAAGTTCTCCCATTATCTATTCTTTTATACAAATAGGAGGATCAAAGATTCACTGTTCATACTACAGTAAATGCTACAGTAGTATTTACTGCAGCATTATTACTGTAGCCAATAATTAATAAAAATATTACTGTAGCACACGGGTATACTGTAGCATTTAAAGGGCACTGCAGCAAAGCGGGATACTGTAGCACTTTCAAAAATTCAAATCATGCCCTATTAAAAAAGCGGGATTACTGTAGCAAAAAAAAAATTACCATGCTTTGCACGGACGGCAAACTAGTTATAGAGGAATAGAGGAATAGATATACTGTAAATATGGATGAACTGTTCCCACAAAAAGGAACACGTTCCTCATTTGAAAACCCTCATAAATCTGATGGTTGCGTGCACAGAACCCCATAAGGTCCCATTCCACAAGTTCAACTATACCTAGTCTAAAGCAACTGCTGAAACAAGAAAATTTTGTACTAATGTTTCCAGCTCACAAGGAAAATTAACATATCTTTCAAGAATGTGTCATGTAATTATTTAAAAAAAAAACAATCCTGCATGGTAAATAGAATTTTGTAAGCACAATTAATGTTGGGCGCAGAGTCAAGAGGCCATGATAGGAATTTCAATGAGTTGCACAAATGCCCGGAGTTCCATTTTTCTTCTTCTTTTCTGCAAGGAGATTCTTCTTTAATCCATGATAAGATAGATGAATCCAAGCAACTAACGCATAAAGATTAGCCTCTGAAATATGTAAGCTCGGGTGAATGAAAAGAAAACACAGCATGAGTAGCAAAAAGTTTGGCCTCAACTAATTCATGTCCATATCAACCTTTAGAGGATGCAAATGTTTCTTGCATGAAGATCTCATTAGTGGTTGGGGAGGAGGTTGTATTAGGTCCCTGCCAAAAGACGGCATTGTCACCTAACCACAAGTTCGACAAAGAAGAACAAGGGTTGCAGTTCTTGCAGGAATATTTAGCTACTAAATGACTTTAAGAAATCATCAAGCACTGAAGTAAACCCCGTACGGAGTTTCTAGAATGGTCATCAATATGAAAGTGACAAGCTAAACATGTTTCAAAAAGATCGACACCTCAAGAAATTTGCAGCTAGTTGAGATGGATCACGATGGATGATGTATTTGGCTGATTCCTAATTTCAATGTCAAGCATCTTGAAGATGCAACCTCATTACAGCCAGATATCAGAAGCAACTCTGGAGCAGGGAAAATGATGGCCAGATTTCAAGACCAGAAAGCAAGCAGCTAGTGCTTCAAGCCAAAATTACTTGATGGTTTAAAGGATCATCAAAGAGCTGGTTTTAATCTACTAACACCCTACCCTATTATTTATTTATTTTCAATTTTTCTAAATGCACAAAGAAGTAAATCCGCAATCTCAGTGAATCTTAGCAGAATGCAGTAATGGTGCAATAAGACCTACAACATAGTACTCACCAATAATTTATAAGAACACACTAGAGGTCTTAAATTAACCTACATGGAGGGGGGAAAACGAAACTAAGGTCAGAATGAAAAGATTTATCTACAAAAGATGTTTCAAAACTACACAATTTCTAAAATATTTATATCCAGTGTTATCAACAAGAGGGTAAAATCGGCATGCAAACTGATTCCAATACCTTTCTTATTTTACTATCCCAATTTCCCAGGCAAAATGATCCCTCCACTAATTGATGTCATGATACTAATGTAAATCTTTCAGGGTTGTCAACGTTCCTGCTTGTGAAAGACACTGTTCAGTGTTAATTTTATCACTAAGCATTAATCAATCACAGGAGTTTTCATAATAATTCAGAGCAAATCTGACGGGTTTTCCATAATTCTATTTGAGAGCCTTAGTGAGCCAAAATAAATATTTAAAATTTAGATTTCTTGAAAGAGCCAATAGTTTTATCCATATATAATAAGATACACTTAAAAGAGTCAAAACAAGTAACATTAACATCTTGAACAATAATGTGGTATTATGATTTAGGATACCAACCCAATCTTGTATCATGTAAAATCTGAAGTTAAGAAATAAAGTATACAGTTCTGAACAAGTTCTACATTCTGAATGATCCCCTAAAAGCATAACATGAAATTTATTTCAAATGGAAATTTGAAGTTTTAACAATTTGATTATCCCAACTACCAGATTAATATTTGAAGTTCTTAATTCAGAAACTTTGATCTTCTAGAAATCTATTATTTACACATGATAGAAAATTATAAAAGTGATCATTCAATACTGTAGTATTGCAGTGAGCCTAACTGTGTCATTCAAGAAGGAACAGGTAAAATAAATAAGTCATATTCACAGCATTATATACCATTATTTGGTCCATGCTTCAATGTAACGAAACAAACCACATGGGCTTAAATTTAAATTAACCAAACAAGGCAACTCGAAGCATCCATGATATTCAAAATTGCATACCTTCAAGGTAAAAACCTGAGGACATGTGAGGAAGAGGATTTCAAGTAACTTAGTTTGGACCAGAACTGCTAGAAAGAGTATTAGCACGATTCTCTGTTACTCTCTCATTACTTGATCTTGTAACCCCATGTTGAATGTTTTGTGTAGCAGAAGAACTAGCTGCTATGCTACTATCTCTTGTTTCAAGCCGCTCCATTAAACGAGAAACAGTTGCAATTCCAGCATTAACCTCTCTCCTGACTTCAGACCCAATATCTGACATAGAACTATTACTGGGGAAAAACCTTTCCCTCCATCCACGTGTACTCTTTGTTATAGAGTCTTTGTATCTGATTGGGAATTATAGGACAATTAAAAGAGAAACTGTGAATAAAAACAAGGTGTAATACACGCAAAGGAAGCTACCTCATTGAGACTGCAGTCAGGCGAGATGTCAAGTTGGAAAAGGATTGGAGGTCAGATGGCAGTGCGCTGTCCTGGTCATTAAGAGAAGATTGGCCAACAAAGTTCCTGATATATAACAAAAGCCCAAGAGTGACTTTTATTATCCCAAGAAAATATTGAAACGCGTTAAAGAAAACTCCAGCATGTTTGAACCTCAAAACATACCCTCTACTAGAATAAACAGGCCTACTCGAGGTAACTTCATCAGCATGTGATGGAATTGAGCTGATGCTAATGTTCCTTGGATAACTTTCACCTCTTCTATGACCTGAAGAGGATGATGCACTTAGATTAGACGAGAAAACCATAAACTGTGGGTGTCCATGAGATGATGGTCTTTCCCAATGTCCTTCTCTTCTGGCAATATGATGTGATCTATTACCCATTGCAGCAACAGCAGCCAAGTGCTGAATTACACGCTCTTCGAGTTCAGAATTACCAGCAACAACTGGTAACTGCAACAAATTTTAATGGAAAGATCAAACTTATGAACTAATGAATAAAAATAATTCATATTAGGTAATAAAAATACAGAATCAAAATGCAGCTGCATTTAAGCAGAATCACCCACATCATGTTGAAGTTCAAAATTTCCTAATGCTGGATGGTAAAAAGTGGAAGCATTGCGTGTTTGATTGACTCTGTTCCTCTCCATCTCTACGCACTCAAGGAGTTCTTGGCTGTCAAATTCAGCATCACAAAGTTACACCATTAAAAGACTAAGGTTTCAAGTTCAACAGAGTATAGTCAGCAATTGCAGTATGAATTAGACAAACCTGGTTGGATCCTTCAAGCTGATTGCCTGCCAACACATAGGACACTGAGAGCTTCTCTGACACCTAAATAATATATAAAAACCATTCATATAATAAGAGAGGTAAGCATTCACAAAGTAACCGCAATACACTATTGTATAGCCTATAAAACCCAGAAGAAAATATGAGCGACATCTTCACAATACAACAGTTGTACATAATGAAAAATATAAATTATGCTTAAATATACTTGTCTTCAAATTATGTAAGAAGGCATAACAAGTTGTATATGTTATTAACTATAACACATCTGTTGATTTGTTCTGATGCCTTGTTATTATAAATCCACTGTTTAAAGAAAAAGAAAATCGTCCATGTCAGTATTCAGAAGCATCTTAATATTCATGTCCAAAATATCTCTTAAAGAAAACAAGAATTAGCGTGTTTTCATTGATTACAGCAACTCAACATGAGCTTTCATCACTAATGTTTCAAACATATGGAATAAAACATGTCACTATTGTTGCAAACTTGCAGTAGTCAGTTCTATTGTGTATGAGGATCTACATTGTCAGCAATTGATTCCTATTTCCTCATCATAAAGAAAATACTCATATGCATCAAAGAACACCCCAAATATTCCTTGAAAGAGTAATATAATGAGGGATCAAAGAGCACCATTCAAGAATGCAATGAAGATGGAACTCGTGCTTGCAGCATGTAACCTAAAAAATGAACCCATGTATCAAATCAGCAAGACCCCAACTTTAAACTTCTACAATTCCAATTAAATTGCAAATGTAAGCATATTGATACCGCTGAAGGATCATCGACGCAAAACTCTTCAAGGCAAATGCTGCATGAATCATCACAGGCATCTTGAATCCCTCCTTCAACAAAGGCAGCAGGTGATGCTTGTTGGCCCTCCAACTTGTCAGAAGCGTCCATCCTCAAACCCTAATACCAAAAGAATCACATTTTGAGCCAAATTTAAAATAAAAACATTTTAAGACGAATTTCAATCAAACAATGGTCAACTTTCAAAATATCTAAAATAATTGATCAATCTAGAGCATAGTATCAAGAAAACTGTCTCCTTTTCTGATAAATTACGAAAGTGTACCCAAAATTCCTAAGTTTATGGGGAAACACCTACCACCAAAAAACTCAATTTTGAGGCGAAATTCAACAAATATGATCAATTATCAAAATTCCCAAGACAATTGATCAATCATGAGCACGATTCAATAAATCAGTCTCCTTTCCACAAATATAACAAAGTTGCACGTGCACCCGAACTTTAAAAAATATTGAAAAACCCTAACGCCAAAAGGATCACATTGAGGCGAAACTCCACAGCACTGGATCAGATTTAAAATTATTAACAAAGTTGAACAATCAAAAAACAGAAAATCAAGAAATATGTCTCCTTTTCCACAATTTGTAAAAAATGCACCAAAAGTTCATAAATTTATGAGAAAATCCTAATAGAAAAAGACATTTTAAGGCGAAATTCAGCAAAACTTTATCCAATTTCAAAATTTCTGAAAGAATAGATTGATCGATACCAAAATATTCACTAACTCATACAAATTTGCACCCAAATATTCATGAAAAAGCGAGAAAAACGAAGAATTGCCTTTAAAATTAGGCCAGATTAGGGGGAAGGAGATGGAGGGGAAATCAATATTATAATCAAAGGTCAAAACTTCATAAAGAACGATCAAGCGATCGATCGAGCGATTAATTCAATGAGAGAGAAAGAGAAATGAGAGTGGTAGCCCTCTTTCTCTTTCTCTCTCTACTTTCTCCCCCGTCTTTCGGTTTGGCTTCTTCGTTAATGACGCTTGTAATTATGATTAACAAAGGCAATGGTGATGATTATGAGGAGAGAAGACAAATCAGAAATTGTAATTTTTTAACCTTAAAAAATTTACAAATTTGGTGCGTGCTCACTCCGCTTTTTCCGACCACTTATATATTATTTATATTTTTGATACGTACGAAGAGCGCTTAATTTATACGCAGAATAGCTTCTTCTTGGTGTTTTGGACGATTGCCCGCCACTTGTCACTGAGAACAAAAAAAAGTTAAACCCGATTATGCTGTAGTTATAAATATAATTATATTAAGTTAATATTTTAGATAATCAACATACCAGCTTCTCATAAAAACAAATAGGTGCCCCCCAAATGCATGATGCACTGAACGCATTCGGGGGGCACCTTACCTCCCCTGGGTCCCCTATTTAGGGTACCAGTGAAGGGGGGGAAAATTAGAGAATCCTTTTTTTTTTGGGACTCAGGAGAAGAGATCGATTTTCTGTGTGTTTAGAGGAGAAGAACTCCTCTCAATTTATAGGCATTCTCTCAACGCCTCCGTCCCCAAAAAATCTGCCCCAGTATCTCTCTAAACCAATTTCTCCGTAAGACCCGTTCTCTAACGGAAGAAATCCCAGAACGTGGGATATTCCCAACAACCGGGTTGGATTCTTAACGGATCGGGTTACAGATTTGGCCCATGAGGCCATTTTCCACAATATCACGAATATAATGATATTGTATCTCAATATGTTTTCCTTTAGAACTGTTTGCACCACTGTTGATCAAGCTGATGGCTATTTGATTATCACAGTATATCTCAATTGGTCCATCCACCAAATTGAGATCCAAGTCCTTTAGGAACCGTCTTATCCAGACTGCATGAGTAGTGGCCATACTACAGGCTATGTACTCAGCTTCTTGTGTGTATCTTGCCACACATCCCTGTTTCTTACTACCCCAAGAAACAGCTGCACCACCAAAAATGAACAAATGTCTAGAAGTGGACTTCCCGTCATCTTTGTCTCCTCCGAAATCAGCATCAGAGTAACCAAGAACCTCAAGCGAGTCTGCTTGATAAACTAACTTATGGTGCACAGTGCCTTTCAGGTATTTTAAAATCCTCTTAACAGCCTCCCAATGTGCTGGACCAGGATTACTTTGATATCTACTAACCAAACTCACCGGATATGCCAGGTCTGGTCTAGTACACAACATTGCATACATCAAGCTTCCAACAGCTTGTGCATACGGGACACTAAGCGGTTTCTGCCCCTCTCCAGGACATTGTTCTTTACACAACCGCTTTCCCATAATCAAAGGTGTTGGCGCAGGATTACAATTCTGCATCCCAAACCTTCTAAGTATCGTATGCAAATACCTTTCTTGATTAAGACTTAACATTCTAGACTTTCTATCCCTAAGGATCTGTATACCAAGAACATAGGATGCATCTCCCATGTCCTTCATCTCAAATTCACTACTAAGTGCTGATTTGATTCTGTTCAGCACTTCTATGTCATTTCCAGCCAGCAAAATATCATCCACATACAAGGATAATATTGTAAAACTGCTGCCACTCTTCAAGACATATACACAGTTATCCAATTTATTTGCAACAAAACCAAGTTGGATAACAGTATTGTGAAATTTGAGATACCACTGTCTAGATGACTGTTTTAAACCATATAAAGATTTCTTTAATTTATATACTTTGTTTTCTTGTCCTTCAACCTGGAATCCCTCAGGTTGATTCATATATATTACTTCCTTCAACTCTCCGTTGAGGAATGCAGTCTTGACATCCATTTGGAAAAGTTCCAAGTCAAGATGTGTAACAATTGCTAAGATAATTCTTATAGAAGCAAACTTAGCCACCGGAGAGTAAGTCTCCTGATAATCTATACCTGCCTTCTGAGTAAAGCCTTTAGCAACTAAACGGGCTTTAAATGTATCAATAGACCCATCAACCCGATATTTCTTCTTTAACACCCATTTACATCCTATGGACTTCCTATCTTCTGGTAAGTCACATAGCTCCCATACATTGTTTCTTTCTATTGAGTCAAGCTCCCTTTTCATGGCTTCCAGCCATTGTTCCGATTCATGTGTGTTCATAGCATCCACATAATTCAAGGGATCAGCTTGCTCATCTATGTCAATGTCTACCGAGAAACAGGATGGTTCGCATGAATACAGATAATAATCATCCATCCATGCAGGTGTTGTTCTGGGTCTTTTATTACCACTAAGGTTAACAGGTTGGACAGGTTCAGCTGGTTGATTTTCCATAGGCATATTCTCATTTAAGGGCTCATCTTCCATTATTGGATGATTTACTTCATCCACTATGTCCAGGTCATCGTTGGGAACATCATCTAAGTCTAACAGAGGTTGTATTGCCTCTTGAACTTGTTCCTTTTCCTCTAGATTTTCTAGAAAAGTAGCATCTCTACTTTCAATGACCCCTTTCTCTTCATGGAAGAACCTATATCCTTTAGACTTTTCAGAATAGCCTATAAATCTACACTTTAAGGTTTTGAGATCCAGCTTATCTCTAACTTGATATGGAATGAGAACATGTGCAACACAACCCCATTTTCTTAAGTGACTTAATTCAGGTTTGTGTCCATTCCAAATCTCATACGGTGTTGACTCGACTGATTTTGTGGGAATCCTATTCAAAATATAATTCGCAGTCAATACTGCTTCTCCCCAAAAATCCTTGAAGAGACCAGAATATGACAGCATATATCTCACTGCATTCATCAATGTTCTATTTTTTCTTTCAGCCACACCATTCTGTTGTGGCGTGTAAGGCATAGTGGTATGTCTCTTAATACCATAATGAGTGCAATATATAGTTTTTAAATTCCTTTGAGTTGAATTCTCCACCTCTATCAGTTCTTAACACCTTAATATATCTTCCAAGTTTCCTTTCTACTTCTGTCTTGTATCTTTTAAAACATTCAAATGCTTCTGATTTTTTGTTTAAAAGATACACAAAAGTATACTTGGAATAATCATCTATGAAAGTTATAAAATATTCTTTATTACCACGTGTCTTTACGCTTAACGGACCACAAATGTCAGAATGAACTAACTCTAAAAGTTCACTTGCCCTCTGACCTTCAGAAAATGACTTTCTAGTCATTTTCCCTGTTAAGCAGTGTTCACAGGGTAATGTCCTTACACCTGTCAGATTTGGTAACAAATTCATTTTAATTATCTGATCTATCTTTCTATTACCAGGGTGTCCTAGTCTCATATGCCATAGATCAAAATCAGATAAAAGACACGAGGAATAAAACAAATCAGAATTCTTATTGCAAATTTCAGGTTTTACAACAGAAAGACAGAACAAATCATGTTCGGGTACAAACTTGCCCATAGCAAACACTTTCTTGTCTTTCCCAATAGAGACCCTATTGTTGTAAAACCTAACTTCAAGGCCTTTCTTCAGGAGAGCTGGGACGGAGATCAGATTACGTCTTATGCCAGGCGCATAAAACACTTCCTTGAGAACCATGATGCTGTCCCCAAGATCCAATCTGTATGAACCAATACCTTCAACATCTAGGTAGGTATTGTTCCCCATGTAAATCCTTTGATCTCCCTTCTTCAGCTCCTTGAAGTCGCATATCCCTTCCTTCGTCTTTGCAATATGTCGGGTAGCTCCCGAATCAATCCACCAGCCACCAGCGTCAGTAGTTGCAGCATTGCACTCAATGACGCCGATGAACTCCCGCTTACCGGATCCTCCTTGTTCCGGGCGTTTGGGACCGCCCTTATTCTTCGCCTGTGGACAGTTGGCTTTGAAGTGGCCGAACTTCCTACAGATATAGCATGATCCAGGAGGTCCTTTCTTACCGCGAGCACGTTGCTGGCCAGGTCCTTTGAAGGAAGGCTTGACAGGTCCAAACTGATGAGTTCCTTGTGCCTTGCGATAGTGAGCTGCATTTGCTTCTTCTTGCTGCACAAGGTTCACATCTGAGCCTTTCCTCCTAGCTAGTAAATCTTGTTCCATTGCTAACTGGGCTGGCAAGTCAATAACACGTTTAATGGTTCCATTAAGCCTAAGTGTTGTGGCAGCCATATCTAGTGAAGGTGGCAAGCTATTCAAAATAGTTGCCACCTGCAATTTCTCAGGAATTTCAGATCCTGCTGAAGCTAGGTCCTTAGCCATGCACACATCATCGCTTCACCAATGTTCGCCGGGTAACATCTTCACCCTTTCTGCATACGGACATTGAATCTAAGATCTGGCATGCATCAAGAGCTATGTTCACCTCAGATTGTCGTTGTCAGACTTCTCTTTAACTGCAGCCCACATTGCCTAGCCGTATATATTGTTTCAAAAATTTGATTAAACTATCCTCTATTGAAAATTAACATCACGGCTTCTTAGCTTTGTTCATTAAGCTGCCACTGATCAAGCTCTCTTTTCTGGAGCGTCAGATAGGGATCACACAAGAGTTGGCGCATGAAATATCTAGACACTTATCTAGACTTTCGATGGAAAGTCGTATTAATCTTTCCTCATGCACATATCATAGTTTGGAACATTAAGACGTCTATCTTTGCCAGCTTTAGATGCAATCAACTTACTAGCCATGACATAATTAAAGTGTTATGATACTTTCAAAATAGAATGATTTCAGATTGCAAAACTAAATAAACTTACAAAAAAAAATTATACTTGCATACTAAAACTTAAATAAGGTGTTTTTCTTTAAAGAATACGATCTGACGTAAATGAGGAAACTGTAATGCATGATGATTATTATTATTATGTTCATTCAACAACAGCGATTAGACATAAGTATTATAAGGATTTAATCCCAAGGTAATAAATAAAACTGGGTCTAATTGTCAATACACTGTAACTGATTCATCAAAGTTATAGCAAGATTAACTTATAAAATTGGAAATTTGTCTAACTGGTTAGCCACTTTTATGAAATGCTACAATAAAATCATTTGCTACTTGAACGAATACTTAAGCCTCCACATAAACTAATATACTAAATC